TTTGGTAAAGATTGGTTAATATTTTTAGGGGATGAAATTTTACATGGAGAATGGGATCGAGCCAAAAAATAGACATGCCTATTTTGATAAAGATCGATCAATATTTAGTGGGTTAAATGGACCCTGACTTTTGTGTGAAAAAATTACAAAATTTTTATTCTATAGTGTATATATTTACCCCTGAAGGACATAGACCCGAGAAGTTGTTAGTATGTCCAAGAGGAGTCGAATTTACTCGGATGTAGAAGTTACGCTTAAATTGTTATAAGTGCTTACGTATTAATAGTAACCCATTAACATTAGAAGGCGGAAATATAGCGCTGATCGATTTGAAATTTTCCATGAGGATCCAGGTATGGTCAAGGATAACGCCTATAATTATCGTTGATGATCAGATAATAATTATGGGATGGATTAAACCGAAAATTTAATTTTTTTCTGTTTTTTGAGCCGATCTATAGGCCACAATTGCAAGAAAAACATGACAACACAAGCCACGGAGAAGGGAATCTGAACAAGTAATTAGAAGGGCTTTGCTGAATATTAGTAATATTTGTTGACATCCGTGGTAGTTGTGTAAGGTATCGTATGGTCGGCCCCGTCCGAATATACTGTTCCGCTCACTGGTTTTTATTTTATCACCGAAATTGCAATAATTTCACATATCGGATAGTTGGCGAATAAAAACGTCGTCCACAAATAAATGACCCGTATAATTTTCGGTATATTAAAGTTAATATCCCAGTTTCCTACTTGATTATCTGTAATTTGGAACATACTGTTTTCTGAGCATGAACAACTTGAACACATAATGCAAGAACATAGTCCCCATATAAAGGTCCCGCCCGATTTAAAGAATTTTGAATGCACAACACTTAGTGGAGAGCTTATAAAGTTTGTCCGGGCTTTTACTTATTTCATGCTCTGACAGCAAATTCTCACAAAAGGCCCGATCCATTTTAGTTATTTTGAATGTCCACCTGATGGTGGAGGATATAAACAAGTACGACTAAAGGCAAACACTCTTTATTCACTTTTCCACGACAAAAAATGGGTCTAATCGAAATATTGATTTTAAGTTCTAAATTTCTGTGGAACAAATCCCTTTGTAGTCTATTTAACCAGTAAGGAAAGTAGTAAAGTCGGACGGGGCCGACTATACGATACCCTTCACCACTTTGGGTATATTCAACAGATGAAACGTAACAGAAGTCGCATTTTGGAAGAATCAGTAAAATAAAATTGGATCCATAAATATGCCATTCTGCAACCTATACTAAATTATTCATTTGTTCAGATATAGAGTTGCTACTAACAATGGGACAAAATAATGTAAATCAATTTAAGGGAACCCCACCCATTCTCGATTTTAATTTTTCAAGATTTTCAATGGACTGGTAAATCAATAACAATGCTTGTTAAGGTTTGTAACTTTACACATATATAATTGAAGATTTAAAATAGAAGAAAAATAATTTACAAAAAAATTTTGTTGTTGTTTTTTGTAATTAAAGAAAAGTCCTTATTTTTGATGGCGGGCACGATAACTCCTCACTGGAACATCGGAATCCGAAAATTCCAACGGTGTTAGAAAGAGTACATGTCTGGCTCTCGTATGAACTAGGATTATTGACTTCGCTCTAAAATTAACAAAATGGTGGACCTTTGAAAAAATATTTTTGGAAAATCGCCGATTTTTTACCAAAACCCAAGTTAAAAAATAAGGAAGATCTTCACCGATTGGCTTTATCCTAGTTCATACGATAGCTATACATACACAGAGAAACGTGTAAAAATTTGAAATGGATTGGGTTATTAGTTTTTGAGTTATCGTGCCCGCCATTCGCAAAAGAGAAAAACGCGTTTAAAGTTTGAGAAGCCCTTCAGCCGTCACTTGATGCTGACACAATAAATCAGCTATATCTTCAAGAGATCTTCAGATTTTCATTTGAAATTTTGTAGTGACATTCTTTAATTAGTGTAGATTCAAATTATATCAACAAAATTTTTGACCCCGAGAATGGGGGGTCCCCTTAAACCAAATTTGAATCGGACACGCGTTGATTATTTGAATAACTATCTGATAAACGTGAGGAGTTTGGTGCGCAATTTACATTAAATAGGATGAAAATACATATGGGAGTTATATCTAAATCTGAATCGACTTTCAGGAAACTTCAGACACATCATTCTAGACTTAATTCATTAGGCTATGCAAAACTTCGTGCAAATGGAAAGATATATATTGACTTTGGTGCACCGTTTACATTAAATCGGAGGAAATATATATATATATATATATATATATATAGGAGCTATATCTAAATCTGAACCGATTTTCACGAAACTTAGCACATATCATTCTAGACTTAATTTAGTACCCCATGCAAAATCTAGTGCAAATCGAAAGGTATAGAGGGACTTTGGTGCACCAATTACCTAAAATCGGACGAAACTATATATGGGAGCTATATCTAAATCCTGACCGATTTTTAGGAAACTTAACACACACCATTCCAGACCTAATTCATTACGTTATGCTAAATTTCGTGTTAATCGAAAGATATATAGGGACTTTGGTGCTCCATTTACATACAATCGGACGAAAATATATATGAGAGCTATATTTAAATCTGAACCGATTTTTGACGAAACTCAACACACATCATTCTACACTTTATTTAGTACGCTGTGCCAAATTTCGTGCAAATCGAAAGATATATAGGGACTTTGGTGCACCATTTACAAAAAATCGGACAAAACTATATATGGGAGCTATATCTTAACACACATCATTCTGGTCCTAATTCAGAACTTAATGCCAAATTTCATGCAAATCGAAAGATATATAGGGACATTGAACGGAAAGACGGGCGGACATGCGTAAATCGACTCAGAAAGTGATTTTATGCATATTCTCAAAAGGATCCATGGGTCTATATCGATTCCTTATGCCTGTTACAAACATATGCGCGAAGACAATACCCTGTACCACAGTGTGGTGAAGAGTATATAAATATCCGTCTTGCAGGCATTTAAGGCAAACCACTTTCATCCAAAATTTTAACATAGTAATATTTTTATAAATCTAAGATTATATTCGAAGATGGGACTCATCAATCCACTTCTTCTTATACTTCCCAAACAATGGGTTAACATTTTGAAAATTTTAAGTTTACTCCACTGCGAATGGTAAATCTGTATACCCTCCATAATAAAATGGTTAATCTAAATACCCTCCATAATAGAACAGTGTCTTCAAATATGAGAACATATGCGTATGTTTCTTGAATACACCTAATCTCTACATATCGATATAGATTCGGTATATTCAAGATATAGCAATCAATCGGCTAAAGAATAATAAAGCAGCAGGTGCCGATGGATTACAAGCAGAACTATTCAAGACTGGTGGTCAGATGCTGGTAAAGAGCATGCACCAGCATTAGTACACTTTGGCTAGAAGAATGTATGCCCAATGATTGGGCATGCATTCAGCATCCTGTGTCCCGTGCACAAAAAAGGAGACAAGACGATATGTGCCAACTATAGAGGAATAAGTCTCCTTTCCATCGCATACAAAGTGCAATCCAGCGTACTGTGTGAACGACTGAAGCCAAACTTCAATGACATTATTAGACCATACTAATGCGGCTTCAGACCTGGCAAATCCACCATTGACCAGATTTTCACTCTGCGTCAAATCCTAGAAAAAAGCCATGTCTGCGTTTGCCATTCCTGCAAAATTAATACAGCTATGCAGGATAACTTTAACTGGCACAAGATCAGCAGTTAAAGTCTGAAAGGACCTCTCGGTGCCCTGTAATACCGAACAAGGCTTCAGACAAGGTGACAGTTTGTCGTGTGACCTTTTTAACATCCTGCTGGAAAAGTTCATACGATAGGCAAAAGTGAACAGAAATGGCACTTTGTACACCAAACAACACATGTTTCTCGCCTACGCCGATGACATCGACATAATGGGTCGAAAATTGAGAGCGGTAACAGCCACCTTTGAACAAATTGATAAGGAGTCTGCCAAAGTGGGTCTGGCATCAACTGACCTGGTTCAACTTCTGGTATCAACTTGAGAACTACAGCTTCGAGTTAGTCAAAGATTTTTTATACCTTGTTACCGCCATAAACAAAACGAATGACATTAGTTTTGAAATTCGGAGAAAGAAGGTGATGGCCAACAGATCCTACTATGGTCTGAGCAAACAACCCAAAAGCAAGGACACCTCCCGCCAGACCAAACTCACACTCTACAAGAAGCTGACACTACCCGTGCTGTTATATGGATCTGAAGCATGAGTACTTGCGCAAGTAGATGAGGCAGCCCCAGGCAAGAAGGCATATAAAAGCGAACCAGCTGATGGTTCACGCTGAAGGGGAAGGCCATGAATAAGATGGAAAGATGAAATGGAAGATAACATTGCCGAATATGGTCTTTCCAATTTAAAAAACTGCGCAAAAGACCGACGCTCCTGGAAATTTTTTTTATGCTCGGCTTATGGAACGAAATTTCTGTCACAAGCTAAGTAAGTAAGTAAGAGGATGTTTGCCTTATTTTTCAAAAGATAATTTGACATTTCCGGGTTTTGGAGACTGACATATGCCATCTGGATACCAGATAGTGATTCTGTAGACCTCCATAAACCAAAATAACATATAAAATTCAAGACATGTGTATACAACATAGTATATGCTGAAGTTTATATATATCGCCAACACCGACAGACTTTTTTACTTGTTAAATAAATATTTATTTATGTCAACTTTATTACAATTTGTAAATAAATTATTACAATTCACGATAAGTTGTTAACCTATTATAAACAAATATACGACAATTTAATAAACAATACATAAAAATGCATATTAACAAAACAAACATCGATTACAGCCAATTGGTTGCATGCACAATGTGGCTATAAAATGCTCCACATTCCCAACATTACAATTCAAAGCATCAGAAAGGCAGACAAAACATCGCAAACATGTTCACCAGTATAATACTGGTCGCATTGCTTGCGGCATACAGCATAGCCGATAAGGATTTAGAGACATTTTTCAAGGATTACAAAATTGTTCCCGATATGATTGATGAAGCACCAAAGGAGAAACTAAAGGTATGCTAATATATTTATTATTTTACTACATTATAATAATTATATCTCTTCCTGAGATGCAGTTAGAAATGGACAATGGCCTCTTGGTAGGAGATGGCGTTGAATATAAACCAGCCGATATGATGTCAATTCCCATTATCGATTGGCCTTCCGCCGATCCCAATAAATATTATTCCGTTTATATGGGTTGTCCTGATGCTCCCGATTCCAAGGATCCCCGATGGGCTGAATCAGTTCATTGGCTGGTGCTAAACGTTCCCGGTAATCAAGTGGATAAGGGTGAAATCTATTGCACATATATTGGACCTTTTCCCCCAAAAAATGCTGGAATTATGCGCTACGTTTATTTGGTCTATGAACAACCGAATAAAATTGATTTTGACGAGAAAGTCATTGATCCCTCCGATGGAAAGGCGCATATGAATTATAAAATAAGGAAATTTGCTGAAAAATATAATTTGGGTGCGCCGATTGCAGGTAACTTATATCGTGCCCAATGGGATGAATCGGTACCGGGTCTACATAAAAGTATTAATTTAAAGGTTGATGAGTGATTTTATTTTTGGCATTTTTTGTGAAATGGAAACGAGTTATGATAAAATGGACATACATATTTTAGATATTAGTAAATAAATTTTAATTTGCACGCACCTTGCAGGACACCAAAAAAATTGAATTTTGAACACTATATGATGGGAGGATATAATATTCTTTTTTCAAGTCGCTTTCCTGGTTACAATTAGTATCCTCATCTTTTTTGATTTTTGGTATGAAAGGATTAGGAAAGGAATTAACATATTTTTATAAGGATCGAATAAAAATTTTTATTCAAGGAACGTGCATATATTGCACCATTTACATACATTCTTCCTTTCAGGCACGAGTGATATTATTGAAAAATAAAAAAATACACCACAAAAGTTTCTATGGCAACGAAACTATCAGCAGATGTTCCTCCTGTGGAATGCAGGACGACATGTTATCCTGAAAATAATTTAATTTAACTCACCAACACAATTACATACACCTTGCATATTCCCTTCCTGATAAGGTTAAAATAAATTTGAAAAAAAACTAATTTAAAATTAAAATTGCTCATCTTCACCCCCCAAATTTTGGGTAGGAGTCATGTGTCAGGCTACCAACAACATTTGCCACCCCATTGCATTTCAAGTGGGCACTTGTTCCTCGCTCTAGTGACCATACACCACCTTCTAAGCACATGCCATATTCTCTTCATTTGGGTCATGTACAAAAACAAAAAATAACTTGATCATTGTTTAAATTACCTCACAAAACATTAAAAAACGGGGTGGAAGTCAGTCACTAACCTGCCCCTATATAACCGACAGGTCGACAGGACATCAAATGCAAAGTGAAAATTCCATCAGCCCACATTTTCAAATGAAAAGTTTTAAAATTTTTTCATTTTCGGCCGGGTGTATGGCACGAGCGTATGGCTATTTTGAACATTTCAGTTTTTGTTTGTGGTTACTGTCTGTTTGCCGGACTTCTTAACTATTCTGAAATTATGCATATTAGGGGTAACAAATGATGGAATGTTTTCATAGTTTTACATATGAAAGCACAAGCGAGTGACCGCCAGCCAGCCAGTCAACCATCCATCCAACAATAGACATAACTTTACATACAAAATTGCTGAAGCGTTAAATAGTTGCGGACTATGAACACAAGTCTGACGCCTGCCGGTCACTGGGTATGCATATTTTATACTGTGGCTACTTCTATTATTTCGGCAGGGAGTTTGTCACCTCTTCTTTGGCGTTTCTGTTTATTTTTTCGTTGGTGCTGATGTGGCGTGGCTCGGCATGGCCTCCTGTTGTTTGTGGTGATGAAGAATGTTAAAGTCCAGTGGTATTTCCGTGCACCTACCTACCACCACCTAACTAACTTTTTCTTCTTTCTAATTGTCTTGAAGCGCACGATCAAATTATTTTTGTTGTTGCAATAGTTTGATGTTAACGCTGTGTTATGAGGGTGGTATACGATTTGGGGTAATTGAAGTAATAAAATAATTTTAATCAGTAAAAAAAATAACTTTATTATTGTACTGCAAACATATGGATACCTCAATATGCTGGTACAAGATACATCATTCAGCATAATCATAGTATTATCTCGACATGGCGAATCATTGTAACTGTATCATCATTTCTAGATACTTTGCAGATAAAAACCAGTAAGGAATATAATATAATGCCGTTCGGCACCTACAATAGGACAAGCTTTCGGATTTTGGTGCAACATGTACCTAAATCGGACGAAAAAATATATATGGTAGCTATATCTAAATCGATATCGGTTCATCCTTGGTCATAAATGCGACCTGTTCTTCATTACAATTTAACATAGACATACAGACGAAGGACATGCATAAATCGACTTAGAAAGTGAATCTATCCATATTCTCGAAAGGAACCATGTGTCTATTCGATTCCTTTTGCCTGTTACAAATATATGGACAAAGATATAATACCCTGTTCCACCCCTTTTCGGCAATTTTAAGGCTGTAGGACTGTAATTTGGCATTACTGCTTCATGGATGATAGAACAAATTTTTGAAGGAAAATTCCAATATGCGCGAATCTTATTTTGAAGATTTGGTACGGGAATGGTTTTAATTTTTTATTCCAGGTTCAGGCATGGTAAAAAAGAGAGGTATAAAGGTATTATGATGGTTTCACCCGTATTTATATAAAAATTTAGTATTTTGCCGAATATTTTCGATATAATTCCATATTTTGAAGGTTTTAGCCACATTTGCCACCGAAGAGATTGTAATTTGTCATTTTTGGTTCCTGGGGTTTCGATGTGCCTCCATGTTTCGATATGGATTGGATGGGACATGGAATATACATATGTCCCATCCAATTTTTCGGTATTTTGAATACCTTAAACAATTTTCCCAAATAATGAAATTATAATTTGACATTCCGGGTTCTGAAAGATTGAAAATATATATCGATGTAGGTGTTCTGGCATAGCCCCCATATTAAATCAGACCCTTGTTATTTCGGTATTTTTAAAGTGGAAGCCTCCTAGCCCCACCTGGCTGTATTCGACACCTCCGTGTTATTTGTGAATAAAATACTTCTTAACAGCATTTTTTTCAAACCTAGATTTGCAACATGAGCGCATAAACATTTAAAGATCCCCACCTTTTAAGGGAACGCCCGTTCTCGATTTGAAATTTCAGCGATTTTTATATTGTAGACATGTAACATTGCATATATGTATTGGAAGACTTAAATGATAAGAACATTAATTGACATAATATGGTTGTTGTTGTTTTTTGGTACTTGTTTTATTTTGTAATTAAAGAATAGTTTTCATTTCGATGTACATGTACAAGTTTGGATCTGGCTCTCTGAAAATTGGGTGATACCGTAATATGGGGGCTATCCGAAAAAATTGACCTATATTTATAATATTTTTGGGGAGATTTGCTAACCAATAAGAACATTAAAAATATTAAATTTCAGCGAATTCGGTTGAAAACGCCCTCAAGAATCTCAAAATACCGAAAATTGGGTGGTACCCTGAATTGGGGACTATCCAAAAAATTGACCTATATTTATATTTATTAATAACAGCAAATTCGAGCGAAGAATGCGATCAAAACCTCCAAAATACGGAAAATTGGGGTACCTTTATATGGGGGCTATCCGAAAAAATTGACCTATATTTATAATTTTTAGTGGGGAGGTTTGCTACCCAATAAGAACTCAAAGTACCAAATTTCAGCGAATTCGGTTGAAAAACACGCTCAATAACCTCAAAATACCGAATATTGGGTGGTACCCTTATATGGGAGCTATGCCTGAACGTGGGCCGATATAGCCCATCTTCGAACTTGACCTGCTTGCAGACAAAAAACGAATTTATGCAAAATGTTGGCGATCTATATCACGGCGATTTAGACAACAGTCGGACGGTTAAGTCGATGCGTTACAAACGGGATAACAAAACTAATATAATATCCATACAATGGTGGAGGGTATAAAAAAAGAACAATGTTATATCAATGATTCGGTTGAGAAGAAAATTTTCAAATAAATTTCCAAAGAAAAAATGTAGGGAAAATGGTCCATAGCTTGCACATGATCAATGGGCAAATACACATTTCAGTACTTGTATTTTGAGATGGCCACTGGAATATGTGTCTTGTTCGGCATTCAAACTGACATAATTATAGTATTATTCCCCTATCGAGGGCTAGATTCATTCAATTTCGAAGAGATCGTCCAAATAATTTCCAACATTATTTAAATTTGCCTATAGCTTCCGCCTATGTATTGATTGGATTCTTATTTATTTGGCTATAACATAGCATGTAGGGTTTTCACAGTATAAAATACCTCCTCGCAAAAATGTTCAATATAAGCCCATGTTTTGACATATCCCCCATATAAAGGTCCGTACTCATTTATTTGTTATTTTCTGTGTCCATTTTCTAGAATGTTGTAATTTTACATACCGGGCTCTTGGTTGGTAAAATCTTTGTCGAAAATTATCAATGTTATGATATAGTCTCCTTTTGGATATTTCGAAAGGCTTTGACGATTTTTTAAGACTTTATTGGTAATTTGTTTTCCCAGGGGATAAAAAGCCTCCTAGCATACATGTTAAAATATTGGGTTATATTTTACCTACTCCCCATTATGACTCCCGACCGATTTGCAGTATTTTCAATTTCAAAGTTATGACAGATGATATAAAAACTTCGTTCCGGTCAACGACGATTTTATATTCCCGAAGTGCGTATATAAAAATAATTTTTTCTTGAGATGGTGGCAAAAACAATGTTACATTACTTTGTCCGTTTCGTCTAGACTCATGTTTTAAGCGAAGACAGTACGAAGAGGACACAAAGTTCCGCCCAGCTGAACATGTTGAATTATATTGACTCTTTCGTCTAGACTTTTGTTTATGGCGAAGGGATTATACTTTCGGTCAGACATTCATCAACCATACAAAATTCAACTTCAGCCCACAACTTATTATTCTCAATTACAGCCGATTGTCATTAATGTATTCTTGACTTAAAGTGCCGCCGTCTTTAGCTTTAAATCTTTAGTCAATACGATACGAGTTATTGGTGAGTGATGTCGTCAAGGATCGTGCCTAGTCTAACATGTCTTATCACAAATTCGTGTCTGTTTTTTTTTTACAACCTACTCCTCCAAAAAACTTCTACAGACAACAACAAAAATCCTCGTCTACGATAAGTCACAACATCAACCTCATCAGCAACAACAGCCCTAGCAGACATGGATGAGGGTGCCAGGGCGCATATTAAGTAACTGTATATTCGACATCACCTCACAGAGTTAGTTGTTGACGCTTTTATGGTTGTGTCTCGTTCGGGTTTTGACCAGGTTTTCTTCCGTTCTGTTTCGTGTTGTTGTTGCTGATCTACGGGCCATTCGCGTTTCTGTCGTGTGTTTTGGCTGCCTCTGACTCTAGCTCTCTCTCGTTTTCTGTCTCCTAGCTGTGCGGCTTTCTGTGGGGTGTTGCCACCGACATGTGTCTAAGTACATGTTTTGACGTATTTGTTTCGTACATTTTCACCTTTGTCTCGAGCCATGTCTAATGACCTCGCGCTCCTGTTGTTGTTCAGCCCTAAACGTAGCACAGAGACCGAATTGCAGCAACGTCGCCACCAACCACCGCGAACACACAACACAGCGATGAGTTGTGCACGACAGACAGACAACCAAACGACTAATCAAAAATTCTTCCTACATAAGGTGTCGGCGGCATTTACCGGCATTGTCGGATGGACATTAAACATCGATAACTGACGAATTGCTCTAAAACAGGTACAACGTAAGCGTGTTTAAAATTTCCTTATTAACTTGCGTATTTCTAATTTTATGTTTTCGTTTGTTTTGTGGGGGATTAGGATAACAACACTAACAGCAACAACAACAAAAATGTATTTTCTTTGGAAATTAATTAGAATTTTTAATGACTTTGAGGAAATGTCATTTGATCAAGGGTCGGCGGTAAGGTGTAAAAGGATAACCGAAAAAAGAACTGCCAAACAGGAAATGTAATGACACCATTCGAACATACAGGTGTAGAATATTAAAACTTCATTTATTCCAAAGGTTATTGATATGCAATTAGGATCTATACAAAACTAATTGTGATCTAAATGTGAAAATAATTTTTAAATATTTAAATTAAATTAATAAATTCCTATACCTGAAACGAAACAATTTTTTTGTTCTTTGTATGTTTATAAAATATAATAGCCACTTATTGAGTAAAATGTACTCATGAGCTCAATAGGAAACCATTTTTATTGAAAAACTAGCCAAAAATAAAGGATCAAAAATAATATCGAATTTTTGCTATACAAAAAAGTGGAACGATATATTCTATTGTTCATGTCAAACATCCTTGGAGTAGGACCTATGTCTGTACAACTATACTTTCAAAACGAGTAACACTCCACGTTACATTGGAGGGTATAAACATGAAATGTGGATCTATTTTTTTCTGGTATTTTCCTTGTTCAAGTGATTTTAAAGGTTGTAAAATTGTTCAGTACCCAAAGAAAAAAAGAGAAATGTTTGCTCATGGAAAAAATGCCGATTTATGAATTTCCGCCCGTCTGACTGTCGAAATCATCGCAATATAGATCGCAATATTTAAGATGGATGTTTGTCGTTTTGCACGCACATTGTTTTTACACCTCGAATTTTCGGTATTGAAAATGGTATACGTTCTGGTGTAGCCTTTGGTATAACGATATTCCAACTATCGAATAGTTTTAGGTACGATTTCTAACAAAAGTGGCGGAAAGTTGGTATTTTTAATTCTCAATATCGGGCTACTTTTGAGGATAGCTCATATAGTATATATAACAGTACACCCCATTATTCGACATTTTGAGGCCATTGGGCACGTCTTTCAATCAAATTACCTATAATTTAGTATTTTAATTTTTATATCCTCCACCATAGTATGGAGGGTATAAAGCATATATGGGCAATATTGCCAATTTTTTAACACAACTGAAGTCAAGGTTCATCCCTTTATAACTCGGGAATTACTTAAGTATTTGAAAAGAAATGAATAGTTTTGGGTTAATTGATCTGTCATTGCAAATTGTTCATGACATTGACCTCCAAACTTTATTTGGGCGGAAGCTGTGTCTACTTTAATGTAAACCAGTAAGGAAAGCAGTAAAGTCGGACGGGGCCGACTATATGATACCCTTCACAACTTTGGGTATATTCAGCAGTTGAAACCTAACAGACGTTGCATATTTAAAGGACCAGTAAAATGCAATTGGATCCATATACATGTCATTCTGCAACCGTTACTATATTTTTCATTTCGTCAGATATAGAAGCTATATCTAAATCTGAACCGATTTCAGGAAACTTAACATACATCATTCTAGACCTAATTCATTACGCTTTGCCAAATTTCGTGCAAATCGGAAGATATATAGGGACTTTGGTGCACCATTTATATTAAATCGTACGAATATATATGTGGGAACTATATCTAAATCTGAACCGATTTTAGGGAATCTCAACACACAGACCTAATTCATTACGCTGTGCCAAATTTCGTGCAAATAGAAAGATATGTAGGGACTGTGGTGGACCATTTACATTAAATCGGACGAAAATATATATGGGAGCTATATCTAAATCTGAACCGATTTTCAGGAAACTTAACACACATCATTCTAGTCCTAATTTTGTACGCTGTTCCAAATTTCGTGCAAATCGAAAGATATATAGGGACTATGGTGGACCATTTACATTAAATCGGACGAAAATATATATGGGAGATATATCTACATCTGAACCGATTTTCAGTAAACTTGACACACCTCCTTCTAGACCTAATTCATTACACTTTGCTAAATTTCGCGCAAATCGAAAGATATATAGGGACTTAAATGGTCCACTTACATTAAATCGGGCGAAAATATATATGGGAGCTATATCTAAATCTGAACCGAGTTTCACAAAACTTGGTACACGTCTTTCTGGACTTAATTCAGTACGCTATGCCAAAATTCCTGCAAATTGAAAGATTTTCAGGGACTTTGTTGTACCATTTACCAAAAATCGGGCGAAACTATATATGGGAGCTATATCTAAAACTGAACCTATTTTCACGGAACTTAACACACGTCTTTCTAGACTTAATTCAGTACGCTGTGCCAAAATTCGTGCAAATCGAAAGATTTTGAGGGACTTTTGTGCACCATTTACCAAAAATCGGGCGAAACTGTATATGGAGCTATATCTAAATCTGAACCGATTTTCACGAAACTTAGCACACATCATTCTAGAATAAATTCAGTACGCTATGCCAAAATTCGTGGAAATCGAAGGATTTTGAAGGACTTTTGTGCACCATTTACCAAAAATCGGGTGAAACCATACATAGGAGCTATATCAAAATCTGAACCGATTTTCACAAAACTTAGCACACGTCTTCTAGACTTACACGAAACTTAGCGCACATCATTTTAGACTAAATTCAGTACGCTATGCCAAAATTCGTGCAAATCGAAAGATTTTTAGGACTTAAGTGCACCATTTACCTGAAATTGGGCGAAACTATATATGGGAGCTATATGTAAATCTGAACCGATTTTCGCGAAACTTTGCACACATCATTCTAGACTTAATTCAGTACGCTATGCCAAAATTCGTTCAAATCGAGAGATTTGCAGGGACTTTGGTGTACCATTTACCAAAAATGGGTGGAAACTATATATGGGAACTATATCTAAATCTGAATCGATTTTCACGAAACTTAGCACATATCATTCTAGGCTTAATTCAGTACGCTATGCAAAAATTCGTGCAAATCGAATGATTTGCAGGGACTAAGGTCCGTAAATCGGACAAAAATATATATGGGAGCTATATCTAAATCTGAACCGATTTTTTCAATAGGGTTCGTCCTTGGGCCAAATAAATGAGCTGTACCAAATTTCAGCCAAATCGGATTATAAATGTACTTTGTTTACAATTTAACATCAACAGACGGACATGCATAGATCGACTCAGAAAGTGATTCTATGCATATTCTCAAAAGGAACCATAGGTATATCTCGATTATTTTTGCCTGTTATGCACAATCATATGCACAAAGACATAATACCCTGTACCACAGTGTGGTGAAGGGTATAAAAAAATGTGTAAAAACAGTTTGAGGCGAACCAATTTTTTTATCGTCTCTATCGATTTGTGACACTCATTTCATGGTCTTCGTGTCAAAGTAAAACTAGAAGCCTACAAAATGGGGATTACGACTCTTATGTATCATTTTTAAAAATTTTAACTGCATCTACCTTTCATTGATGCTGACATTTTGAAGCTCAATTTTGAGTGTTTTTTGAACTTTACTTCTAGCTTTAATACGCAAACAGGAATTTCTAAAAATCGATTATAAGATCATTGTAGTCGCGAATCTGCGTAATTTGATACGTATTTTGTTGAACCATTTACATATAATTGGACGAAAATATATATGGGAGCTATATCTAAATCTGAACCGATTTTCGGGAGTTATATCTAAACGTGATTTCCAAGATCTTCGGGAGCTAAATCTGAAGCGATTTCAACAAAACTTTGCATATATCAATCTAGACCTAATTCAGTACTGTGTGCAAAATGTTGTCTCAATCGGTCCTATATTGGGAGTTTGGTGCAGCATTTACATAAAATGGGACGAAACTATATATGGGAGCTATATCTAAATCTGAATTGATTTCAACCAAACTTCGCATACATCAATCTGAACCTAATATTGGCAGTATGGTTCTCCATTTACATAAAATCGGACGACTCTATATATGGGAACTATATCTAAATCTCAACCGATTTTCTCCAATTTCAATTGGGTTCGTTCTTGGGCCAAATAAGTGACATGTGCCGAATATCATCCAAATCGGATCATAAGTGCGACCTGTAATTTGTTCACAAAAATACATGGACGGTTGGACCGACAGAAAGAAGGTTGAACGGATAGACGGATATGCATACATCAACTCAGAAAGTGATTCTATGCATATTCTCAAAAGGAACCATGGGTCTATCTCGATTCCTTTTGCCTGTTACATACATATGCACAAATGGTGTAATTAAATTTTTTGACACCGAGAATGGGATTCTCCTTAATAAAGATATATCTGTCTGTCACATTATTTGAGAAAGAGCTTTGAAACTTTATACTGATATTGATATTACTCCTAGTTACTCCTGAAACAATAAAATCGA